TGGGCTCCACCTCCTTCTAGCCCGCCTCCCTGAACCCTGACCTGCCCCTGCGTCCCTGACCCCACCCACCATACCATGTCTGCACCCCCCAGCACCTCAAACCCCGCTCCCCAAGGGCCTCCTCACCTTTGTTCCAGGGGTTGAGAGCAGAGGAGAAAATGAACACAATCTAAGACACAGAGGAGAAGAAGGTGAGCTGGTGGCTCAGGAGAGTGTGGGCAGGTGCCCCTGCCCGCCCTGCTCACCGCTGAGATACCCCTGGTGGGGCCAAAGGATCAAATTACACCTTCCAACTGCTTGACCCTGGGTTCCAGCCCCTGCTCTGCCCCCGGCCCCAGTCCTGAGAGATGGGGGCCCCTCCCGTGCCAGACATCCCCAGGGTCGTGGGGCGAGCTGCCGGGTCAGGCCTGCCCATGGGGATTGCTCAGAGGCTAGCAAGAAGAGAGGGCTGGGCCTCCCAGGTGAGTGGGGGTCCTGGGCTGGGGACTCACCTGCCTTTGCTTGATCACGTGGCTGGCCACCTCCCTGGAGCCCGTCTCCAGGCCCCTGTAGGCTAGTGGTTCAAAGCCCATCTTGCTGCAGTAGAATGACGCAGCCTGGAGCAGAGTTGCAAGTGGGTTTACGAGGGCCAAGGGGCCAGCCTGGGGAGCCCCCAGTGAGAGCCCCCAGTCCCCCTCAGCCGGTCTGCCCTGTTGCCTCGGTGCTGTCCCTCTGACCCCTCCTGACCGCAGATAAGATTCGTGCTGGTGTCCCACCCGAGCATTGGTCTCCGTGCTGGCCGTGACCTTCCCCTCCTGGGGGCCAATCACGGCCCGGCTGGCGGCCTGCCTTGTCCACGGGGCCCTCTTGCCTTTCCTCTGCCCGCTGCAGCACCCTGCCCTGGCGTCTTACCTGCTTGGCGTTGCCGACCCAGAAGGTCACGGAGTGGAAGTGGAGGAATCGGCCTCTCTCGGGCTGCAGAGAGACAAGGAGTGAGGCCGAGGCCCTGGACGTGGGTTCAGACAAGTGCAGGTGGAGCCGCGTCCCCTAGCCACCTCCCTGGTCCCCAGTCTCAGCCCAGCACTGCACCCCCGCCCTACCCCACCAGCCCACAGCCTCTCCAAGCAGCGAATCCGGTTTGTTGTGTTGAACTTGAGCTCCTAGCGGGTGGGGGTGGGGAAGCCCCCTCCGGAGACCTGCCCCGCTTTCCCGGAGAGAGACAGCCTTATGCTGCAGCCACACGAATCTCAGCCGGATCTCGGGAAGGACTTCCAGACAGGTTTAAGAGACCGGCGGGAATTTAAGAGGAGGTTGACGTTTTTTTTAGAGGGGGCGAGGGTTGAACCTAGCTCACTCGGGCGGGTGGGGGGCGGGCAGGAATGAACTCGCGCGCACGTCCCGGGTGTCACAAACCCGCTGTACTTATTTCTCTTCTGATTTTTGCCGACATCCCAGTCTTGCGGGGCCCCGAACCCACGTTTCTTCTTCTGCTTACCTTCTTTCCCTTGTCGCTGTACGACATCTGAGGAGAAAGAAAAGGATGGTAAGATTCGAACGCTCAGACGCCAGGCGTTTCTGGAAGTCTCGCTTCCAGACGGAGCCCCCGGCCCCGGCGGAGGCAGCCACGCGGGCACGTACCATGATTGGTCTCGGTCAAACTTCCTGCCAGGGAGACTGGGATGAGAGGCCAGGAGGGGTGCTGGACAGACTATTTAACCCCCCGCAGGTCCCGCCTCTGGCCTCTTGGCCTTCCTCGGGGTGGGGTCTGAGTCGAGCACCTCACTCCTAGGCCTGGGAGCCTCTGATCTCGCGGCAACCTCACTGAACGGGGCGATGCAGGCCCAGAGAGGGGCGGGGGGTGAGGGTGATGGCCCAAGGCCCTAGCCAGTGGCCTGGGCGAGGGGGTCAAAGGCACCCTAGTTCCAGGACTCTGAGCTGGGACTGCAACCTCTGCCCTTCAGAAGCCAAGGCCAGCCGGAATGCGGCGCTTGCTCCAAAATTCTTATTTAGAGAGAATTTAAGGGGAAATGAGGGGCTGGTCTCGAAGCCCTGCTTGCATGGCAAGTGTGTGGTTCATATTTAGGTAAAAGAGATGTATTCCATCATATTCCACAGTGCTAGGAGGCACTGGTATGGGGCTCGAGTCCTTTGTGGCTGGGGACCGTCACCGAACCCCTCTGAGCCTCAGTCTCCCCATCTGTACAATGGCAGCGATAATAGGGTGATGGGGATTAAGTGAGATAAAGCAGAAAAGTCTTCGCAGGAGAATCTGGCACACAGTAAGGTCTCTGTTACTGTTGGTCATGATCGATTATGTTTCTTTGGGGTTTAGGGGGCTGATGGAGAATGAGGGGGCCTTGGCACTGCCACAGCCTGAGTTTGGGGAAAGAGGTTATGACTCTGCCCCTGGCCCAGGTTCTCAGTATTTCCAGGGCTGGGGGCGAGGGCGGAGCAGGAAGGCGGGGGTTCTTGTTCCCAGCACCCCTGCACGTGAGTCCTCAGGTCTTGCTTTCCTGGAAGATGGCGTGGTGACTGCCGGCCAGCTGTAGCATTTACCTGAGGGCTCCAGGACAGTCTCCGGCCTCCAGCTCCGCCCCTGCCCCTAGAAACTCAGTGGCTGAGCCATCTCACCTTCTTCCCATGGAACTGACTTTATCAACTCTCCTCATCACCCGGGAACTCAGTCCCAATGCTAGCCCTTGTGGCCCGTGACTGTGCTACGGCCCCCTACCCTCTTGCACGTTGACCCCCAAAATGCCCTGTGTCAGCCTCTTAAAAAATATATATGGAAAGACAGATGATGGTGGCTAGTGCTGACCTCAAGGATCATTCGGGCCAACAGTTTGATTTTTCAGATGAGAAAAATCGACAAATAGCAAGAAGGTGCCGGAAGCTATCTACCCCCCTCTTCCTTTCCTTCCCCCTTCCCATTTCTCATCCTCTGCACTGGGGTGCAGAGTTGGCTTAGAACAGGAAGGCGCCCCCTCCCTGCCTTTCTCAGCAAACCCAGCCAGCCCCGCAGGAATCCCTCTCAGAACCCCCAGCCCCAGGTCTGAGGTTCGGCTAAGCCTTGCTATGGGTCAGCTTCAGCCAGCAACCCTGGAGGTGGGGCCCAGGACGGCTAGAGAACATTCCAGACCACGTAGATAGCAAGCGGCTGAGTAGAACTAGATTATTCTAACTCCACGGCCCCCACTTTTCATTGCTGCTTTGCCTTCTGTGTATGTAGGAAATGTTGATATTCGCTGGACAGATGGGGAAACTGAGGCTCGGAGAGGGGAACACACGTCCGCGAGGTTTTGGAGTCGGGTTCCATTCCAGCGGTGCAGACACCTTCTCCCTCCTTTTCTCTGGTTTCTGGGCAAATCTGGAGGTAAGCGGGGGGGTCCCGCCTCCTTACTCTGCCCCTCCTGGGGTGCCTCACCACCCTGCCCTCAGCGTCTCCCAGGCTCCAAAGTGTGGGTTTCCACCTGAGAGAATCAGAGTGGAGGTGCCCCAGACAGGGGCTCCGGGCCAGGGTCTCCCACTGAGGGGGAGGGCTCCGCGCAGCCCCACATCCCCTCGGGGGAGGGGACGTCTCGTCTCCTTGCTCACAGTGGCCCACTGAGACCCCCACACCTGGAGCGTGGCTGCTTCGTGTCCCAGGCACATGGTCAGTATTTACCGAATCGAGGAAGCATGTCGCCTGCAGTCTCTTGGTGCTGAAGTCAGACGTTCAGCTCAGCTGGGCAGGGCTGGTGGCCTTGTCCCTCCTACCCTTTGGCGTTGCTTCCAGAGACAGTGGGTCTCGGTCACGCTCTGGATCTATTTGTGGCCGCCTCTCCCGTCTGTAGGCAGAGACTGCGGAGGGAAGACTGTGGGGACCAGTGTCTGGAGCCCCGACATTTCTTTCCTCTCAGGCTGGGCCCAGCTGATGACAGGATAGCAGTGACCGGGTGTCGCTGCCACTGCTCTTTGTTCCTGAACTGTCACCTTGTGCCCAAACTAGGAGCTGGGCTTGTGGAGGGCATCCGCCGCCGTGCCCTGGCGTGCAGAAATGCAGAAACGCAGCGGGCTGGAGGCCGCTGCTCGTCGCAGGGCCCGCTCGCGGGGCCGAGCCTTGGTTGGTATCGGGGAACTTGAGTTCAGGCAGCTCATGTCCCCCTGGGGCTACGCTGTCTGTACAAGCTCTGTGGTTGATGCCCAACACCTGCTTCCCTCGGGAGTCTGGGTACATGCTATGCAGGAGGCGCCCCTGTGACCAGCCTCTCATAAAGACCCTGGACGCTTCCCTGAGAGATGTGTCACAGCCCCTCGATGGAGGAGTTAAGCGCGTCCTGTGTGACCTTGCTGGGAGGGGCCCCTTGCAGCTCGCATCTGGTTTCCTGCAGACCTACCCCATGCCCTTTACGCTGGTCTGATTCTGCTCTGTGTCCTTTTGCTGTAAAACATCTTAGCCACAGGTAAGACTATATACGTGAGTCCTCTTGGCACACTGTCAAACCTGGGTGGGGGTGGACTTGGGGACCCGGCGGTGACAGCCATGGGATTCACGTGATGAACCCTGACTCACTGAAAGATGGCAGAAGCATTGTTTGACGAAAGGTAGGATGGAGGGACAAGGGATCTTTTCCCTAAGAACTGAACGTGGGATTCCTTGCTGTATAAACCCTGGCCGTCTTCTTCCTTAGGACCGTGACCAAGGTGGCTTTGGCCCCGAGCTCCTTTCTGAAGACCTTGCCGAGGACTTGGTACCTGCCCAGGGACCATGGGGAGGCCTGCGCGGCCGTCCAAACAGATGACACACCTATGCTGCCCAGGTGGCTGTGGAGCTCCTCGTGGTGCGAGGCAGTAGCCTGAGCTGCAGCCGAATCTGCTGTGAGAGACGAAATCCACCTCTGGGATTTGACGGTGAAAGAGGCGCCCTCAGGGGAGGTGACGGGCTGGGGCCCCCGGCGGATATTGGCTGCGCTGGCTGAAACGGGGTGGGGGTGGGGGACACCCGGTGCCAGATGCCTTTGGGTTTTGTTCTCTCTTCAAAACAGGAAGGAGAAAGAGTTCCGACATTCCCAGAGCTGGGCTTGGGCTGGACCAAGCATGTCGAAAGCTTGCATTATTCCCTCCTCTAAGTGAGAGGGAAAAGGTGGCATCAGTTTCTAGAGCTGGAGCAAAGCTTTCCAGAAATCGGAGGGGACAAAAGAGGGGCTGGGGGGTGGGGAGGTGCTCCGGCTGCCGCTGCCGCGGCCCCCTCACCCTATAGATGCTGAATTTACTGCTAGGGGTTCAAGTCGACTCGCAATGAAAATAAAGGGGGAGGAATTTATTTTTAAACGGCTTTGTATTTTGTGCTGTTGTATCTGGCCGTATGATTAAAATCGACGTAAAACGTGATACGTTTGTAATTGCATAAGTGCTAGGGGGATGGTTGCAATTAGGGAGAAGTGGAAAAAAAAAATGTCACCGGGACACGACACTCTTGGCATTTTGCCACATGGGCAGCTAGGAATTTGAATTCTTCAAGAACCGGAGTTAGAACAAGCCTCCGTAATTGATGATTCTGACTATGATTTTTGCCTATTGGATCCTTTTGGGGAAAACAAAAACAAAAACAAAAAGCCTAGAAAAGAGAGGCCATCTCTAAACAGAGATACACTTTTGAGGTTTAAACCAAGCTGTTTTTCATTGCTAATGAGCTCTCGCGACACCCCATGTCTGACCTTTAGGGACGGATGCTTTTCCATGAGGTCCATGCACATTTGTGAGGAGGTCAGCTTGGGCTCTAAGACCAACGTGACAAAAGGGCTTGGGAAGCCTCGCTCGTCTCTTGGACTTGGGACCCAGAGGTCTGGCGGCCCTGCAGCGTCTCAGCCTGGCTGCAGCAAAAGAGCTGCTGGTTCCCTGCCCCCGCCCTGGCTTTATGGAGGACTAATCGACAAATAAAATTTGAGTACGAAACATGCCAGCAATGCGAAGCGACTGGCTAGAATTGAAATCGAGAGAACCAGTTCAGCCTTACCACCTGGAACCTTCCGCGTGCGAGAGGCACCCCGGGTGTAGTGCCTGAACCCACTTCCTCCCCTCCTTGTCTAATTGTCCTTCCGGTTCTGCAGCAAGTAATATTTACGCGATTTGCATCGTGATTTAAAAATGTGTACACACAGCTTGTCGAGGGTCATACTTACTGAAGTGTAATGTACACAGAGTGAGGTTGACTCTTTTCTGTTCCATGCATTTTGGAGACGTAAGCATTTGTGTAACTCTTACCACGATCAAGATATGAAGGAATTCCATTACCCTAAGCATACCCACCCACCCATCCTTTGTAGTGTGTCTTTGCGTAGTGTGTCTCTCTCCCATCCCGATCCCTGGATAACGGCTGATCTATTTCTCATCCCTGGAGTTTTGTCTTTTCCTGAGTAACACAGATGACTCAGTCAGTATGTGGCCTTTTGAGTCTGGCTGCTTTCACACACATAATGCCTTCGAGAGTCCTCCATGGTGGTGTCTGTCTGCCGATGTGTTCCTTCTGTTGCTGAGGCTTCTGCCCGGGTCTGTGAATGCTTCTTGTGAACTTTTTACAATCAGCTGACTGATAAAGAAGACCGAGTCTCGATTACAAAACGATAGAAAAGCTTTGGAGAACAGACGCTGGGAGACAGATTTCTTCATTTTCCAAAGAAGAGGGTGTTTACCGTGCTCTCTTAAAGGTGACGCCTCCAGAAACCGAGGTGTTAGAATTTTATTTAAAGCGATAAAGAGAAGCAACGGAAACCGGACTACGCTATGTTACGTGGAAGCAGAAATGGAAAGGGCCAGTCGAGGTGGGGAAAAGGCCTTGTCTTTCAAAAACAAAGGAATGAAACGTCTTGGTCCTTCGTAATGAGTGGATAGGTGAGTCTAAAAAATAAAACCAGAAGTTCCCAAATGGCGACGGCTACTGGGAAGACAGTGGAGGTTTGTGGGAGCAGAATGGGAGGCCATTCTTATCTCTTGAAGCCATTTTAGAGGGTAGTGACTGGTGGGGTCACGATTTGGGTTTCTGGGGGTGCTGGGAATGGTCTAGAGTGGGGCGCCTGTTACGGTGTGCTCGCTACATGGAAATTCAGGGAGATGTGTGTACGTGAGCTTTGTGTACTTTCTGAACGGGTGTTACAGTCCAGGAAAAAAAATGATGTTTTTCTGTTTATCGTGGTACAATACGCATGACAAAATTTGCCTTTTGTGACATTTAGTACACTCTCGGTGTTTTGCAAGCATCGACGCTATCTACTTCCAGAACATTCTTAATATTCCAAAAAAGAAATCCCGCACCCCTCAGCCCTCCTCCTGGCCCTGGCCAGCCACCAATTTCCGGTCTCTCTATGGATCGAACATTCTATATACACAAAATCATGCAATGCGTGGTCTTGTGTGACTGGCTGCTTTCGCTAAGCTTAATATTTTCAAGGTTCATCCATGTTGTCGCATGTGCCATTACTTCATTCTGTTTTATGGCTGAATATTCCATCGTGTGCATACCAGATTTTATTTACCCATTACCATCGGTTGGTGGGTTGCTTCCCGCTGTGGGGATGTGATGAATAATTCAGTGAATGTTTGTGTACAAGTTGCGTGTGGGAACATTTGTTCTCATTTCTCTTGGGTTGATACCGAGGAGCGGAATTGCTGGGTCATGTGGTGCGTCCACATTTAACCTTTTGCAGAACTGCCCGACTGTCTTCCATGGTGACTGCCTCATTTTTACAGTCTCACTGGCCACGCACAAGGGTTCGAATTTCTCTACCTCCTCGCGAACCATCGTCTGTCTTTTTTGATTCTAGCCATCCCATCACTCACTGAATGGATTGCTCATGGTCATTTTAATTTGCATTTCTCAGATGGCTAATGATGTTGGTTTATGTACTTATCACTGATTCTTCTTTGGAGAAATATCGATGTATAGCCTTTGCCTGTTTTTAAATTGCATTGTCTTTTAGTTATCGACAAGAGTTGTAAGAGTCGCTTAGATATTCTGAAAGCAAGTCCCTTGTCAGATATTATGATTTACAAATTCTGCCCGATTCTGTCAGTTGTCTTTTCACTGTCTTGATTGTATCATTGGCAGCACAAATGATAAAGTCCAACTTATCGATTTGTTTTCTTTCGTCACTTGTGCTTGTGATGGTGTATCATGAAGGGAGGCTGATTTTTTTTAACGTAAAGTGAAAGACCTTCAGCTAACGAAGTGTGATCTGTCTCTAAGTTGTCGCCTCTGGAGGCAGAGCACTTCTTCGAAATAACAACAACAACAACAACATCAATAACAATAATAACAAAAACTCTGATTTTCTGGTCCCTTTGATTTACACGCCAGGCACTGTGCTAAGCCCATTCCACGCTTTGCCTTTTTTTTCATGAAATCCCTAACATCTCTGTGTGATAGGCGCTGTCATCACACCCATTTCACAGACTAGAAAACGGAGGCTCAGAGAGGTGTCCAAGGACGCACAGCGAAAAAGGGACAGAAGCCCGTCTCTCTCCAAAGTCTACACGCTCACCAGTTCCAACCGCGTTGTCTTTGCTCAGATATTTTGGGAGATGTTTTGGGGATGACTTCCGAGCCCATTTTCAAGCAGCAGGAGACCCTGGAGAAGGTCTTTCTTCATTTGGCCTGTGGCTGAGTGGGAAGGGAGGGCCTGGCAGATGGGCCATGGTGGGCAGAGGAGGTAGAAGCACTGTGGGCGTGTGAGGGGCTCTGTGGACAGGCTGGAGAGGAGCAAAGCCCTATGGAGGCAGAGGGTGCTCTTGCTGACCAGCCTTAGGCAAGTGACTCAACCTCTCTGAGCCGCAGTTCCCTCATCTGTAATACGGGAATTATCTGACAGTACCTCCCTCACGGCGTTGTTACGAGGATCATCTGCCTTAATGCACATAGAGTGCTTTGCTTGACGCCTGGCACATGGTGGACTCAATTAATGGTTACCGGTTATGCTTATTATTATAAGGAATGCAGGAGGATCTTAAATGTCAGGCTGGAGGTGTGGGCTTTATCTTCGAGGCAGTGGGGAGCTAGGGAAGGTTTTATAGCAGGGTTGCAACATCCTCAGGACTTTACGGTGGGCGTAGGGAAGTAAGCCGAGCTGGAAACCCAGCTGTCTGTAGCTGCTGTGCTTGGACTGGAGTGGTCCAGGGACTACTGACGATTCTTTGTTATATTTGGGGACCATAAATAAACCAAGAGGTTTTAGTTACATTTGAAAATTGGACCTAAAAACAGTCAAACAGCCCTGGGCTCTGCTTCCTAGAACCTATACCTGGAGACCCCAAACAGAAGTAATGAGGGCTCAGAGACAGGAGCCCATGGATAGAACTTCCCTGCCCGCTGCCAGGCTCCACGGTCCTCCAACTGAGATAGCAGTTGGGGACGAGAGGGGCTGAGGGCTGGCCTGGGTGCACAGCTGTTATCAGGGCTAGTGCGGCTGGGCAGGGGCAGCTAGGCAGGGCTGGTCTTTATCTGCTGGCGCACAGAGCCCTAACGCCTGAGCTTTGGGGTGACAGGCAGCTGTATCACCAGGCATCAGCCATAGCCTGAGGGTCCAGAAAATCGATGGCCTGGGATACGGGATCCCTGGGCTCTGGAGACCGTGTGACTGCGGGCCACTCCCAGGCCCTCTCTGAGTCTCAGTGTTCCAGACCGTGCAAGCAGGGTGCATTGGATCGATGTGGTCTGGAGGATGTCCTCTGTCCTTGGCTCTGGGGACATCGAGGAACATCCTGGATATCTGTGGTTTTCGCATCTCCAGCATCCGTTCCTACCCTGTCAAACAACAGCATCTCACTTTTCCTTTGGGGAACCATCCCGTCCCCTTCTCTGCTCATGTGCTTGGGGCATGTGAGCCGGGACTGGCCAACCAGGATGCCCGAGGTTAACTCAGGGATGGGCGCCTCGCCAGAGCCATCCAATGCAGATTTGCCCTGGGACTTTGGCTTGAGCTCAGGGTTTGCTGAGCCGATGGGCGCTGCAATGGCCACGTCTGGCTCCATGGAGAGAAAACATGCCCGTGTGTGAAGCCCGCACAGAAAGGTGACAGAAGGGGACAGGCAGATTCCTGATGTCTGAGAAACTCGTTCCAGGCATGCTTCCGGGTCAGCCAACATGTCTCTCTTTTGCTTACAGTAGTTTGAGCTGAGTTTCTGGCATTGACAACCACGAGTCTTGACTAAGAGGAGGCGGCTAACCACAACAACGCTCGTTATGAGCCCCTTTTTCAGTATCAGGCACCGAGGTGGGGCACAGTGGGAGCTGTCTGTTCAGCAACGGGCATTGCCATTGTTTAGATTTGGTGGCACAAAAAGATAAAGTCGACAGGCTTTTAGCAGTTCTTATTACTTTTAAATTCTCTGCAGACAGTGCGCCCCCGTGGCAGGCACAGGCGCAGGGAGGGTGGTCGGGTGTCAGGCACTGCAGGGTCTGCTGCAGCTGCAGGGCCAGCCCCAAGCTGCCTCTCCCAGGGTACCTCATGTTCTGGAGAGCCCATTCCATGACGACCCCTTCCTCCCTGGGGTGGACAGCGCCCCCTGCCTCTCCCAAACACTGCCGGGCTTACCCTCTCAACTTACTATTACCTCTCCCAGTTCACAGGCGAGAAAACTCCTGAGACTCAGCAAGGTGGAGTCTTGACAAATAACTTGTCCGCTGTGCTTAGTAAATGCTGACCCAGGACTCGGAACCAGGACCACATCTATGCCACCATGTTTGCCGCTATGCAGCCACAGAGCCAATCCCCTGTTTCAGTCTAGAACAGGTCCAGGTGAGCATTTTCTGTAGAGCTAGATAGTAAATATTTCAGGCTGTGAGAGCCACATAGCCCCTGCTACAACCATTCAGCTCTGCTTTTGTAGTGTGTAAATGAATTGGCCCTGCCGTGTACCAATAAAACTTTATTTACAAAAACAGGCAGTGAGGGGAAAGAAGAGACAGTGGTTCACATTTGCACTAAAGGCCAATAATCTGTCTGCCCCAGCCCGAGACAAATAATGAAACAGTAAGTTAAGCCTTGGTTTGTAGCATTTGGATTCTGTGGTGTTAAGACTTCTTACGGCCAATTTCAAATAAGCAACGTGAAGTCACTGAACTTGGACTTGAGAATGGTGTGTGCAGTAACATACGACATAAGATACGAAAGACAGAAGCATGGGTGATACTAAAATATAGTGAAATAATGAAGTGATGACATTTGAGTGTTTATTACCTTTGTTTTTAATACAGCTTATTTAGTCGTCAGCTTATTTTTGAAGCTTTTTGATTTAATCTTTAGTGTAATTTAATTTCAAGTAATGCTGTTTTTTGTTTTGTTTTTTTTTTTTTATGGTCGTCAAACTTCCTGGAGAATCAACAGTAGGCTCATTTGAGCCCGTAGGGACTACTCTTCTGTTTTGGTTCCCTGGGGTTCAGGGAGTGAGAGGCCCCCATGATTGGGGAATGCACAGAGGAGGGCAGAGGTCATGGAGACTGAGCCGCTGCTGTGGCATCGAGGCCGAGGGCACATCACAGGGGCTCTCAGGCCAAACTGCCATCACGTCAGTACCTTCATCGCTTGCATAGGCCAAGGGCAGACTTACCGAATGTCAGTCATCGATCCCTTCCAGGATGAACCTGTGTCTTCACCATCCAAAGTCCCCAAGGTTTCAAACATGTCCCACCCTTCAGTTTGGAGCACTGTTTTTCGATCCTCACAAGGTACTAGGGGAGTCAGCCTCCAATCTGCCCAGTTGCCTTCAGTACGTTGCTTAACCTCTCTGAACCTCCTTTTCCCATTTCTGGATGTTAGGGAGAGCTGTCGTCACAGAGTCTCTGTTATCTACGGGAATGAGGGTGACCGTGTGTCCAGTGCTTTGCATTTAACCTAATGACCCTGTGAGGTAGGTATTATTATGATATCCACTTTACAGTTCAGGAAACTGAGGCTCAGAGGCGCTAAGTGGTTCATACTAATAAACGGTGGAGGGGAGATTCATTCCCCCTTATTCCCGGCCCACCAGAAAATTTCTCGTATTTTCTGGTGTGTCTCTCCCTGCCTGTGGAGACCCTCAGGACTTTTACAGATGAAAAAGGTCTGAGAGGCCAGCATCAGAGGACTTGAATTCCCAGCGCTCCAGGAGCCAGGAGAGTGATCTGGAAGAGAGAAGGGCGGGTGGCCTCGTGGGACCGCGGCAAGCTCGGGCTTCGTCAAGACGCGCAGTGATTCCTCAGCTTCGGCCAGTTGTCGTCTGTGAGGACGTGGGCCTAGTTCGGTCAGATGTTGGTTGAAAGAAGCTGGAAATTTGAATTTTGATGGGAAATCCATTGACTTAAAATTGTATTGTTTTACATTCCATTTATATGAAATATCCAGGATAGGCAAATCCACAGAGATAGAATGCTGATCGGTGGGTTCCGGGCCTGGGGGGAGGGAGGACTGGGGAGTGACAGGTTAAAGGGGACAGGGTTCCTCTGGGATGATGAAAACGTTTTGAAACTAGGTAGAGGTGGATGGTTGCACAACACTGTAAATATACTAAATGCCACTGCGTTGCTCATTTTAAAAGTGGTTAATTTTATGTTGCATGAATCTCATCTCAGTTTAAAAAGTTGTATTGGTTCTAGAATTTTCTTTAAGATTTTGTACATATTTCATATTGGGAAATAGTATTTCTACTGGATTAATATGCTGAACACACCTGTTTAACCAGCTCAGGTAGGTGTTTTATTATTTATAACAGAATTAAGACAAGACAATTTAGGGGGAAAAAAGAGAAAATACGCATAGTTAAAAGTAAAAAAAAGTTGGGGGAGGACAGAAAAACCAGAAAACAAACCCACCCCAAATCCTTCATCCACAGGCAGCCACTCTGAACATTGGGACATACACACCCAGACTACCTTTCAAAAATGTTTAAACGTGTACAGATATGATATTTTTCTGTAACATAATTTTTTACATAGGTAAACACTTTTCACGGTAATAAATACCTATGTTCATTGTGTGTTTCCTTGAAAAGCCGTATCTGATTACTGTAACCAACCCCAGAAATAAACGATTAGAAACAGTATCTGCAATGACCTATCTCACTTGAAATGATAGTTTCATGCTCTCTGACAATAATTTTCTTTGTTAAATTACTCTGAATTCATATCAATGGCCTATATTTTCAATTGCTTTCTCCCGTGCCCCGCACTCTGCCCAGGCACTAATTATTAACAATTTCCAGTGGGCAACTTTCTCCATTCTCATGCAATCGTATACAGACACCTATATGGGGGAGCTGACTATGTTGTATAAAAATAGGATCATATATCCTGTGGGTCTCTGCATCTTACTTTCCCAAGTGTCTAAATATTGGCAACTGTGCTGTTTGCCCCTCCAAGTCTCTCCCGCTCTGTGCCTCAAGCCCCTTTGCCCTTAGCCAACCCGAGGCTGGGCAAGAGGTAAGAGGAGGGAGAGGAGGCTATTTCCTGCCCAGCTCCCTCTCTGCCAGATGACGTTCAGGCGGCAGCTTTGTTCCTCTACTGAAGGCCACACTCCTGTTGGGTGGCCAGAAACTCTCTAGGAACCAAAACTACTTCCTTCCCTGGACCCCTTACGTCTGGAGGTGGAACCTGACCCCCAGCGTTGCCAGTCCCATGTGATTTTATCATCTCTTAAATGTTCCCTTAACTTTATCCACGACTCTGTAAATAGCCCTTTCATTAAACGCCCCTTAAATATCCTGAGTGTGCCAGCTGTTTTGTGATGGGGCTCGGATTACTTACTGATTCAGCAAGTAATTTAAAATTTTTAGCGTGCCGACTCGCACAGGCCCGCCACCAGTTTGGATGTCAGAGTCCAGCCCCCTGGGTTACAGATGCAGGAATGGAGGGTAATTGACTTGGCAGTCTGCCTGGTTCTAGGCCAGGTTTGGGTGGGTGCGGGGGCGGGTATGGAAAGTTCGCTGAGTCCTAAAGGCAGGCCATATGAATTATGACCTCCTAGGTCTTCCTGGGGTAGCTCCAGCTTCCTGGCTCTGTTTCCCAATTCTGGGTCTCTTGGCCTCCCTCTCATTCTGAAATGGAAATGAGCGAGATACAGGCGTTTGGAAGAAACTAACAACTTAAGTTCTCGGATATCTGGTCAGCTTTCTAAAACAAAGGCTTTGTGGCCTATCTGTGGCCACCGCAGGTGAGATGAACCAGAACAGCTGGAATGGGGGAAAAAACAAGGATTGTTCTCTTAGCCTGTTCCCTTAGAATCCTGTGGCAAACATTCACTTAGTCAAACATTTGAAGATAAACAAGCCTCGGCCAACATCCTTTGAGTCCTCAATGCATAGACACAGATAAACATGCATTTAGAATCCCAGGTGGAAAGTACAGTAAACAGCCTAGTTTGAGGCATGTTGGGGGAATGAGTCTCCGGAGAGGTAATGTTTGAGCTGGATCCTGAAGGAGGAGCTGAAGTCAGCCTGGCCTGAGATGGTGTCCTAGAGAAGGGACGAGCAGGTGCTAAGAACCTGTGTTAAGAGAGACAGAGCAAATGTGCCGGAAACTGCTACTCGTTCAGTGTGGCTGGAACATAGGTCGTCTGTGTGTGTTGAGGGGTATGTGTGGATGGGTTCAAAAGGCAAACAGGCATCAGAAAGGTCTTGAAAGATAAGAGAAAGGCGCCGGAAAGCCATTGAAAGCTTTTAAATGGCAGAATGACAATGTCACTCTTTGAGTAGGTTATTCTGGCTGCTGTGTGGAGAATGGATAAAAGAGGCAACCTCGAAGCTAAGACGAGTTCAGAGGCCACTGTAATCTGGAAAAATATTGGGATGGTGGGATGAGAGTAGAGGCAGAGGTGATGGATGGCTTTGGGAACTCTGAAGGCAGGAGCAAGGACAGGGTCTAGGTTTATTATAATAACAGTGTTGACGATAAGATAACATAGTGACTTAAATGATAGCCCTGATTTCAGACTGTGTGGGTGAGAATCTTCTCTCTGCCATTATTTGGAAAAATTTCAAACCTCAGAAGATTTCCAAGGTAGTTTCCATGAACATTCAGGTACCCTTCACCAAGACTGAAGTATGTTGTTACATTTTGCCTCTCTCCTTCCCTCTATCTCTTGATATATACATATGTGTGTATGTATAGCATTTCCCACTGAACAACTTGCAAATTTGTTGCAGAAATCATGATACTATACCTCTAAATACTTCAGCATTCATCATAAGGAGATTCTCTTCTATAATCACAATACAATTATCTTACTGAGAGAATTTAACATCGATACATTGTAATATGTAGTCTATATTCAAAGTTCACCCATTGTCCCCATAATGTCTTTTGAATCGCTTTTTTTTTTTAATTTAAATCTAATATACAATCAAGGATCATGCATTGCATTTGGTTATTGTGTCTCTCTTTTTTTGCGGGAGGTGGGGAGTCAATGTTAGGAATGTTGGTTTATTTAAAAATGATAATTGAACAAAATATAGGAGGCCTAGTATAATTGAGTTTACTTTGTCTGTATGATGATTCTTATAACTTTTTATTTTGAAATAATTTCATACTCAGAAAATTCGCAAAGATAGTGTAGAGATTGTTCATGTATGTTCCACCCAGAGTCAGCAATTATTTTCACTCTGCCATATTTACCTTGTCATTCTCTTGTCTACAAATATATACTTGTATATGTTTATGAATCCCTTGAAAGTTAGTTGACTACTGGTCCCTAAATACTACAGCGTGCTTTTTCTAAGGACATTCTTATATAACCACAGTATACAAGTATCAAAATTAGGAAATGTAACATTGATACAATACTAGCCGAATTCAGAGTTCCCCAACTGTCTCAAGAATGTCCCTTGCACTTTTATTTATTTTTTTGAGGGGAACCAGCATCCAATCAAGGAGCCCACATTGCATTTCACAGCGTCTCTTCAGTCTTCTTTAATCTAGGCACGCGTCTGCCTGGCGCGCGTCTGCCTGGTGCGCATCTGCCTGGCACGCATGAGTATTTCACAATAATGATCTTTTCGAGGAGTTCGGGCCAGTTGTTTTGAAGAATATTGCTCAATTAGGATTTGTTTTCCACGTTTGGAACCAGGGCAAACATGTTTGAATGCTGTATCAGTGACAGTGTGTCCCTTTTAGTGCAAATATTAAGGGGCAAATGTTAAGACATGAAGTTTCGTTGTTTGGTTTTTAAGCTGGGTTGAAATTCGGGCTGCTTATTTTGCTGGTTGGGCAAACTGGTTCTTGAGATGACTTTCTCGGCTGTCAAATGATGGTAATAATAATCCTGGTTTCAAGAGGTTGTTGAATTAAGACATGAAAGGCACTTAGAACAGTGGCACGTTGTAAGCGTTCGATAAATGATTACTATTACTGTTATTTTTATCATCAATATCACCAAAATTTATAGAGACCCTAATATGTGAGAGGCACTGAGCCAAATCTTCATTTCTTTACCCCTCCAGTACCCAGAACAGTATATGGCACAGAGAAGACATTCAATAAATATTTATTGGCAAAATGTCAGCTCTATGAAATAGATTGTTAATATGGAACCAATTTACAAATGAGGAGACTGAGTCTCAGAGAGGTGATTTACCTAAGGTCCTCACATTGCAGTAAGAGGCAAATGACCAGATTTGAACTTTATAAAATGGGGCATAAGGAATCTGTGTTTTATAAACGGTCAAGGACTGTGTGGATGCGAAGAGCTGAATTGGAGCGCCACACACAATGCTCTCTCATATACAAACAGTTGGCACTCAATAAATGTTAGTTGAATGAATGAGGAAAGAAAATGAGCCAGTTACAGAGAAATCACCAGCCTTGGTGCGGTCTACCTCCCCATATTACCCCAAGCCGAATCACCATGGTACCACGTATTCCAGCAGGGTGTGGCTTCCGGTGGCCCCGCCCCACCGACGAAGCCACGCCCTCACTCGTCCCGCGTTCGCGGACCGCCTTGGTGTTTTGGCCCGCGGGCGGAGCCGTAGCCATAGTCTCCTCGGGCGTCCGCAGCGGGGAAACCGGGTGTACAGAATCCTGGGCGGAGGTCCAGGATGTCGGAGAAGGAAGGTAGGCAGAGCGGAAGCTCCCCACAGGCCAGTGCGGTGACTGTCACTGACATCCAGGAGCTGATACGGCGCAAGGAGGAGATCGAGGCTCAGATCAAGGCCAATTATGACGTGCTGGAGAGTGTGAGTGTGGGCGCAGGGCTCCCGGGCGGCGTGGGGGCACCCCAAGGCCTCCTGACTCGGCACCCCTGACCAGGGGGACTGGGAGGCCGATGTGGCCTCCGCTTGAGCGCCCGGCTGTGGATCTTTCCCTCTCTGGGAGGCTCCAGGCGCCGCAACTGCGGCCTCTGTCGGCAGCAGGCAGTGAGGCAATAACGTTAAGAACGAAGAACGGTGTCGGTAACATCGCAAGCGTTTGTGGAGCTGGGCGCTGTTTTCCGTGCTTCACATTGGTGAGCTCATTTAATCCTCGCAGGAACTCTATTATTTCCCCCGTTTTAGGGAGGAGGAAACAGAGGCGTTATTTAACTTAGAGCTGCCTCCGATCACAGAGCTAATAAGTTTGCAGAGGCCGGAGAATTGATAATCATCACCATCACCAGTCTGTTCAAAGTTTACCAGGTGCCCTACGCTTTGCTAACCACTTTACGTCAGAGCTTCGTAAACTTTAACGTGTATGTTAAAATTCGGATTGTGATGGGGGCGGGGCACGTGGGAGCAGATGTTGTATTTCTGGCAAATTTCCCAGCGATGCTGATGCTACTAGTCAGAGTACTGAGCTTTGAGTTATAGATAAGGCTCATTATCCTCATTGTATAAGGTGGAAACCGAAGCTCAGAATGGGGCAGACACTTGCCTTAGGGTCTCGTAGCTAAAAAGTGGCAGCGGTGGGGCTAGTTCCCACGTCTGTCTGGTTCCAAAACTGATAGTTTTTCTTAAGCCACCTAGTGTAAAACCACAAATCAATTGACAGAGAAGGGCAAATTAATTACATCTTCTATAGGGCAGATGGAATGCATTTTAGGTGATGGGAGTAAGATGAAGTATCAGATAGAGGCCAGGAAGCTGACTATATGCCCGATGGGTGCTCGTTATGGAGGGAAGTCACTTGCTCAAAGTCACAAAGTGAGATTTAGAGCTCAAGCCTGTTGAATTCAGAACCTGTGCTTTCAAGTGTCATGCCAGCAATTTCTCAAACTCAGTTACTTTCTACCATGAGCAGGATGCTGTATCCATATACTTCCTGTTCTGTTATTCTCTGTTTTTCTTTCAGTTGACCCACTTTTTGACTTAAATAAATTTACTTTAAAAGGGAATTTTATAATTCTACAGCATATGAAAAAATGAGAATGTTTCCCCTTAAATATGAGAAAAATAACACATATCAAGGTGACTCATCTAAATGTCCAACAATTGACGAATGGATAAATAAAATGTGATCTCTCCATACAATGGGGTATTATTCAATAAAAGGAACGGAGTACTGATCTGTGCACACCATGCATGAACCTTGAAAACATGATGCTAAGTGAAAGACGTTCATCACAAAAGACCACACATTTTATGATTCCATTTATATGAAATATCCAGAATAGGCAAATCCGTAGACAGAAGGTAGCTTATTGGTTGCTGGGAGTGATAGCTGATGGGTCTGGGGTTTCTTTTTTGGACCATGATGAAAATGTTCCAAAATTGATTGTGATGATAGTTGCACAACTGTGTGAATATTCTAAAGACCACTGAATTATACACTTTAAATGGGTGGATTGTATGGTATGTGACTTTTATCTCAATAAAGCTGTTAAGAACAGAATAGAGAGGCCCAGAGACAGCAAGTGATCCGTAGGTGATATAAAGCCCAGAGCCAGATGGAGACGTTCTCCTTGAAAGAAATCGAAGATAATTGGAAAGAGGGTAAGTATTTTAGATTCAGGCTTATTTAATGCCCTGTGGGTCCCGACTTTGGACAGCAGTACTTTATGTGGTATTGATTCTGGAAGCCAGTCAACTCTCAGTCATTGTGGGAGAGCTAGAGGCAGACACAGGGCTCTAGCCCCTGGCACATTTATGTGGTATCTATAGGGAGTACTGTGATAAAGGGAGGATATGGGGTCCCCTGCCCCCAACAGGAAATAGTCGGTGTAACCCAGAGGCTCCCAGAGACAAAGGGAGATGAACTAATAGAATCTCTCTACCCAGTACCTGTGTACACTGGGCATGGTAAAGCCACTGTCTGCCTCGGTCCTCACGTGGCCTTCTCTCTGGTCTCTGTGTCCCAGATGTCCCTCTGCTTTCTCTTATAAGGATATCCGGCATTGGATTTAGGGCCCATCCTAAATCTAAAAGATGTGAAACGGAAAGTCCGTCTCTCTCTCCTGTCCGCAGCCACCTAGTTTCTCTACCCAGGAGGCAACTGGACGATCTCACCCTGAGATCTTTAACTATATCTGCAAAGACCCTCTTTCCAAGTAAGGCCCCGTTCACTGTTCCGGGGGTTAGGGCTTGGACATCCCTTTTGGGGGCCGCTGTTCACCCCACTGCACATGTTCCCGGTGTTGTGCTAAGCACTCCACGTGGGTCAGCTCGTTCATCTCATAGGCGAGAAGGGAGTGAGTGCCGTTACTCCCATTTTATAATCGAGGATGGCGAGGCTTGGAGAGGTGAAGGCCTTAACCAGGGGCCCCCAGACCCGATGCGGCAGAATTGACATCTAAGCCACCTAGTTGACGGCAGAATCCCTGTCCTGCACCGTCGTCATGTGACACCTTTCATTGTTTTGTGCACCGTGCTCTGACTTATGTAGGAAAAGAATTCAAAATGTTAAATGTTAATGTATTGTTTCAAATAGGGAGTACTTTTCCATGGTCAAAATTCAGTCTGCAAAAAGATGTGAAACGGAAAGTCTGTCTCTCTCTCCTGTCCGCAGCCACCTAGTTTCTCTCCCCAGGAGGCAACTGGTGATATCAGTGTGTCCTTTCAGGGGAGAAAGCCTCTTTGAAATTCAAGCCCTTTTCGATCTCTTTTTTATATTCAGAAAAACCAAAGTTCCGCCACAGCTGGGTGCTTTTAGGGGTATTCACTCTCCTCCACCTTCCAAGGCCACCTGCCAGGTGTCAGCTGCCGGCCAGGAGTGAGTGAGTCGGGGAGGAGGCTGGCCTTGGGGTTGATGCTCAAAAGAGTCTTCAGTTTTATTGGCACAGTTCTAACTTCAAACAAGGAGGCTGATTCGTGGATTACTTGTGTTATTAGAAATTAAAAAGTAGTGCCCACCTCAGAGGGTGGTTGTGAGAGCACGTGGGTAGAGTACCTGGTCTGTGTTAAGTGTCAATTTATGGCAGCTTTTGTTACTGTCGCCTTTATTATGACTGTGAAAGAAAAGAACCTGGAGAAAGAGGTCTCCTACCTGTGCAATCTTTATAACTGCGTTTCTTCTCTCCAGCAAAAAGGTGTTGGAATGAACGAGCCATTGGTGGACTGTGAGGGCTACCCCCGGTCTGACGTGGACCTGTACCAAGTCCGGACCGCCAGGCACAACATCGTCTGTGAGTGACCCTCGGGGAGGGGGCGTCCCTCACCTCGGAGGGGACAGGAAAGGCACACGAATGAAATCACTAGCGTTCCATATTATCTGCTTCCCTCTCTTCTGCTTTGATGTGATTATCTCATGTCCCCACTGAAGGACTGAGAACTCAGGGAATGGGTTAGACTCAAGGGTTCTATATTCATGGTTTCCGTTTTCATTTGGTTTTTGAGAACTCTACTCTTTGTGGAAACTTGAGTGAAATAACAATAGAAACCCAAGTCAAACGTTGCTTACAGATCAGTTCTGTGTCAGGAAACATGCTTAGCTGTTAATGTTTGCGACCAAGGAACAGAGGGAGAGTAGAGGTTGGGCAGTGTATTCGTTTTCTGTTTCTGCTGTAACAAATTACCAGACTTAGCGGCTTAAAACGTCACAAATTGGTTACCTGATAGTTTCACAAGTGAGATATCCAAATGGGTCTCACGGGGCTAAGATCAAGGTGTGAGGCGGGGCTCTGTGTTCCTTCTGGAGGTGGCAGGGGAGAGCCTGTTCCCTTGCTTCTGGAGGCCATCCACATTCCTCGGCTCGTGGCCCCTTCCATCTTCAAAGCCGGCAGCGGCACCTCTGCTGCCTCCGGTTCTGGCCTCACTTCTCTCTCTCTCACGCTCCGCCTCCCTCTTCCACTTAGAAAGACCCTCGCGATTGCATCGGGCCCACCACCTGGGTAATCCAGGCTACTCTCTCCGTTTCAGGGTCCTGAACTTAATCACATCTACGAAGTCCCCTTTGCCACGTGAAGTAATGCAGTCCCAGGTTGGGGGTTAGGACGGGAGCATCTTTGTGGGGCCGTTATTCACCCTTCCACAGTGGGGCGACCAGCCGTCACCAACAAGTCATGTTAGAGGGATTTATCGTCTCCTTTTTCCGCTTCGTGACTTCCGTCACCTGTTTGAATGCTGACTCCATCTGTAGCGTGTTTTGGTACAAGGCCACGCTTCACTGTGAGGGTACAGGTGCCCTTGGGTGGGACACAGCTTACAATACCAAAGCTGCAGTTTTCAGAGCCACAGTGTTGTCATAGAACTTCTTAGAGCTTCATTTTTCCTTGAAGATTTTGGGAAAAGAAGCATATGCCATTTTTATATTAAAGCAAATAGGAAGACACAGAGTAGGGGAAAACCACGTTGAGATGATCAGACCGGAGGGAAATTTGGGGCTTTTGGCTTAAACCTGAGATTCTCCGGGGATGCAGCCCACTTGCTCCCCCAGTTAGGAGGGTTCTGGGGGAAATTTGAGAGGTTCTCACCCACAGCATGAGGGAGGGTACTGACTTTTTCTCCCAATGGTTAGCCTGATGTTCCACCATTTATTATTATTATTATTATTATTATTTTAATTTTTGAATTAAATTTATTGGGGTAGTATTGGTTAATACCATTATATAAGTCTCAGGTGTACAATTTCATAAAACAACATCCGTGTCCTTCATTGTGCGCTCACTGCCCGGTCTTGTCCCCTTCCGTCCCCATATATTCGATTCCTTTTCCCTTATTTGTCCTCCCCCCACCCCCTCCCCCTCTGGTAACCACCACTCCATCGTCTGTATCTACGAGCTTGTCCGTCGCTTTCGGTTTTATAACCCACATACGCGTGAAGTCATACTGTTCTCGTTCTTTTCCATTGACTTATTTCACGTAGCACGATACTCTCGAGATCCAACACCATGTATTACACAGTCCATTCTTTCTCCATTCATTTGAAATGCTAGCGGTATCACATATGAAATCTTTAGACCTGCTTACATCTCTTTCTGGGCTTTTTGCCTTGTTTTGTTGACTGTTCCTTTGGGTGCTAATATCATATTTTCTTAATGATTTTAATATACTTAAGAATCTGGTTGAACAATTCCTTCTTATCGGTTTTCTTTTGAAAAACTGTTCTCACAAGTTTATCTTATTTTTAAAACTAGACTTTATTTTTTAGGACAGTTTTAGATTTACAGAAAAATTGGAAAAATAATACAGAGGTCCCATATACTCTATCCTCAGTCTTCCCTGTTATTAATATCTTACATTAGCATACCCACATTTATTAGAATCGCAAGTTTGATTTTGAAATAATGCCTCGGAAACATTTTGTCCAGGAAAAAAATTTTTTGGAATTCTGACCAGAATTGCAACATATTGTAAATAAAGTCATTTATTCCAAACCCAACAGCTGTAGATAAAGTACCTATTGTGTGCCAGGCATTGCTGAAAGTTCTGGGGCTCCTGATGGAGTTTGTCGCCTGTGGGCAGCCTTTTCTAGTCAGAAAGTGACCGTGTGTTGTGCATCGATGCCATTTGAAGTCTTCCTGCCCGGGTCTGTGTCTTCGCTTGCTCAAACCTGGGTTCTTTTCTCGTGTCTGCTCCTGTGGGTTGAGTACCTGTGTCTCGTGGTGCCTGAGGGCCTCACCTGTGCCCCGAAGTGACAGAGGCAGAGAAACCAGGTCACGTGGCCGGGCACGCTCACACTGGAAGGCACCTGGAGAGTCTGAAAGTCCGTGACCCACAGGTGCTAGACGAGGATCGGCGGGCAGTGCTGACGGCTTAGGCTTCTGAAACCTGTCGGGACTGTGTGAGTGACCCGTTCTGAGTAAGGTGTGGAATCCACGGCAGTAGAAGTTGTTTTAGGTTAAAAAGAAGTTAGGAAAATGTCAGCCGCTAGGCGGGACTGGCCTGCAGAGGTGACTTATTCGGCTGGCATGGTGGTTCACGACATTTTGAATTCGCCATCAGTACTGAAAAAAATCGAGGAATTCACCCCTAAACTCCTGACTTCTAGCTTTTTCTCCCGTTACGCCTCCCAGACTGAGCGCCCGCAGCTGTGTATCAGTAGACGTGGGCATCACTTTTCCTCTTGGAGGCGTTAAGAGAAAAGCGAAGCCCCGCCCACTTCATTCCGTCGTGTAACAACCGCGTGTCCCTTGTGTGCACTGGAGCTCGTGGCCAGGGAAGACTCCTGCTCACCTGTCAGGTCCCAGCGGGAGCAGCGCTGGCTTTGGGCAGCCTTCCCTCATCCCCTGGCCTGGCGAGGGCAGGTCCCCTGGCCCGCAACGCAATCCTCAGGTGTTGTTATTCACTTCTTTCCTTGCCGTGCTGTAGGCTTCGTGCGGGGGCTGCTCCGTCTTGTTCACAGATCGGCCCTCGGCCTCTAGCCCGTGTCTGGCACAGAGGAAGGGCTCATTAAACACTGAGTGAGTGACAGTGGGAGTCTTCTGTCCTCGGCTGTCTTCCTCAGCCCCTCATACGGTGTTCTCCTCCCAGGCTTGCAGAATGACCACAAGGCGGTGATGAAGCAGGTGGAGGAGGCCCTGCACCAGCTGCACGCCCGGGACAAGGAGAAGCAGGCCCGGGACACGGCCGAGGCCCGCGAAGAGGCCATGAGCCGCGACCGGGGCCGGAGCGAGGGCCTCAGCCCCCCGCAGGCCTTCGCCAGAGTGAACAGCATCAGCCCCGGCTCCCCCGCCAGCATCGCGGTAAGCCAGGGCCCAGCCACCTAAATCTCACCCAGTGGGTGCTGCGGGTCAGGTGGCCTCGGGACCGGGCGGGGCGGCCTGGAAAGACAGAACCACATGCTCTCAGAGCTGCAACCTCTCTTCACTGGGGACCCAGCCTCGTGCTGGCACCAGGGTTTTGGAGAGAAGTCCACCCCTGCTGCCCACCAAATTGTCCATCACCACGGTCCAGTTTAGAGACAGTCAAGTTTAGCTGGGCACTGAGTAATAGACACAAAATGACGGCAGCTGCCACTTACTGGGTATCCTGCCAAATGAGTATATTTGAAAAAGTTTTAAACAGCTTTTTGAGATATAATTCACATACATAAAATTTACCCATTTTAAAGTATACAGTTTCGTGGCTTTTAGTATATTCCCAGACCTGTGCATTCATCATCACAGTCAGTTTTAGAGAATTTTGATGATCCTAAAAGGGATCCCTGTACTGATTAGTCAGACCCTTCCCAACCCCCATTTCCCCCAGCCCCTAGCAACAACTGGTTTGCTTTCTGTCTCTATGAAATTGTCTATTCTAGACATTTTATACAAAGGGACTTGTACAATATGTGGTCCTTTATGACTGGCTTCTTCCAATTACTATCATATTTTCAAGTTCATCCATTTTGGAGCATGTATCTCTATTTCGTTCCTTTTTACAGCTAAGTAATATTCCATTGTATGGCTAGGCCACATTTTGTCTATCTATTCATGAGTTAATGGACATTTTGGTTTCTATTTTTTGGCCGTTATGAAAGATGCCGCTGTGAACATCACGTGCAAGTTTTTATGTGAAAATGCATTTGAGATTTAACCCTGCAGCCACCTTCTGTAGTAGGCACTAATCTTTACCCCATTTCACCCATGAGGACAAGCCTCAAAGACTGAAGTAGCTTGTGCCAGGACACATAGCTCTGAAGAGGTGGAACTGGGTCCTGAATCCAGGTCCCGCTGGTCCTCTTATGATCCCAGGACTGTGAGTTGCACACCCGTCTCCGCAGCATCCAGCACAGGGGCCCGTGACAAATATGTGTTAAAGGGATGAATGGATTGTGGCTGTGTCCTCAGAACAAAAGGGTCACACTAGTCCTGGGTCAGCTTTGTGCCTGTGGCTGCTTGTTTGGGGGCTTCTAGGGCAAACGTCTAAATTCTGACCCCTGGACAAAATAGGTGCAGACTGGCTTGCCTCCTCTTGCCCTTGAACCTGAGCCAGGACACCAGAGAGCAGCATTTGGCTTTTCCCCACGTATCTCAAGGCCTCTGCAACTGCCAGCTTTTATCAGACATTGGGCAGACCTGGCTGTCTTCTAGATCTGCACTAGAAGGAGCCTCCTGGAGGAGATGGCTCAGTTATCCACACCCGCTCACCCCCGCGCTCCTGGATGAGGTGTCTAAATCCCTGACTGCTTCACTTTGCACTTGCTGTTGTTCCCTGTAGAAAACAAGCTCTCGACCTTGACATTGAATTGGGTATGGAAGGGTAAGGAACACCAGAAGCACATTTAACCTCTAGCCTGGTTTAACCTCTAGCCATTTCTCTTCTCTCTGTAGGGTCTGCAAGTGGATGACGAGATTGTGGAGTTCGGCTCCGTAAACACCCACAATTTCCAGTCTCTGCAAAACATTGGCAGTGTGGTGCAGCACAGTGAGGGGGTGAGTTGGGGGTTACGTGACATCTGGTCAGCGACCCTAGAATTGCCAGGGCCAAGAAACGTTGACAGGGGCCTTTGACTGCTGCCTTCAAAGTGCTGTTACTCAGGCACAGTGCCCACTGGGCCTTTGCGCTTGCCGTTCCCTCTGCCGAGAATGCTTTTCCTCGCTCATGTCCCTCGTCCCCCTTACCTCCCTCATCTTGTGCAAGTGACACCTCAGTGAGGCCTTTCCAGCCACCTTATCTAGACTACCCCTCCCCTACTTCCTGTCCCCGTTTCATTAAACAGCGTTTCTCACTGTGCGAATGGACTGCAGCTTGTCCATCCACTGCCTTGTCAGTGAACACGTGTTATTTCCCATTTTACGCCAATGTGAACTTGTTCACAACTATGAACACACATGGGCTCGTCTTGAGAAAGAAAAGAACTGCAGGCTCTCAGTCTGTGCACACTTAAAATTTTAATAGGTAATCTGAAGCAGTTTACTAATTTATACCGAGTGTATCATACCGTCAGTGGTGCTCCGTATTACGTATCGGTCTTCCCATACCTGTGCTCACATGTCGTTTTAATCTGTATTTTCCTGATTACCAGTGAGGTTCAGTATTTTTTTACATTTTCATTAATGTTTTTGTATTTTCATTTCTGTGAATTGCCTGTCTGTTTTTTCCCATTTTTTGCTACTGGATTATTTGTCCTTTTACAAAATCGATTTGTAGGAACTATATATATTCTAGATATTAAACCCTTGCCAGTTTACGTGTTGCATATGTTTCTCCTGGTTAGCTCCTAGTCTTTTAACTTTGTTTATGGTGACTCTGATTACTCGAAAGGTTTTTTTAAAAATACGTTTAGACATCCATTTTTGTTGAATTTATTGATAGTACATTAATAGATGGTGTTCTTCCCTGCCAAAATCATACCCAAGAATTTAAAGAAACATGGAGTAATGCACGGTAGCACAGTATTATTCAAACAGTAGTATATTAGAACCTGACGTGTGCATTTTGACGATTTCAGTCCTTAAAAATATAATAAGAGTTGGAATTCAAAATTGGCTGCAGCTTTCCACTTTCTGGCATAATCATCTCGGCTCACCTCTCAGTTACGTCACCCTAACGAAAGTTTTTTTGGCGAAGATTCATACTTTGCAGGTGGAAAATGGAGCTCAGAGCCCACAGAAATTATTTACTAAAGGTTTTGGTTCCCAAGGGAAACCTTCCGTTTAACCAACAATTCTGGGTTTGTCTTGCGCCCACTCGGGTCCTGCTCATCCACATGTGACTCATGAGAAGGCGGGCGTCGGGCCAGGAACAGTGAGCCGGGGCCTGTGCCCCCACTGTTCAGGCCTTCGTTCCCACAGCGACACCTTCACTGAGTCTGTATGTGTGTGGAAGTTTCACATTTTGATTTTGTGAAATTCATCAGTTTTTTGCTTCATAGCTTTTGCATTTTGTGTCTGCTTAAAGAAGTTCTAGTTCTTTTATTGTTTAGTCTTTGTTCTTCATCTGGAGTTTATCTTTTATTTTTTATAATTTTATTGAGGTATAATTCACATACCAGACAGTTCACCCATTTAAAGTGCATCATTCAGTGCTTTTCAGTATATTACGCATCCATTATTACATTCGGTTATAGAACATTTTCATCGCCTCGTACCGAAACCTCATACACCTTTGCGGTCGCTCCCCATTCCCCCCATACCCCCCCAAACCCTGGAAAGCACTAAACTACTTTATGTCTCTATGGATTTTCTTATTCTAGACATTTCATAGAAATGGGATGACCCTACAATATGTGATATTTTGTGACTGGCTTCTTGCACTTAGCATGATGTTTTCAAAGTTCATATTGTAGCATATCGGTACTTCATTCCCTTTTATGGCTATCCCATTGTTTGGATAGACCACGTTTTATTTATCCCTTCATCAGTTGATGAATATTTGGGTTGTTTCTAATTTTTGGCTATTGTGAATAATACTGCTAGGAACATTCTAAATTTTTGTGTGGACATTTGTTTTCATTTCTCTTGAGTTCATTTCTGTGAATGGCATGGGGTAGGGCACCACACTTTTTTTTTTACCCCCAAAGGATAGTTGTCCCAGAACCATTTATTGAATAGTTAATACTTTACTCACCCGTTTATATCACCTCCTGTTTTACATATCGAATTCCTATCTGCGAGAGTCTTTATTCTGTTTTGGTCTCTCTTTTTCTGAACCTTTCTTGGCTTCCCTGGAACAAATCTATTTTCTGCTTCCCTTTTTCCCTTTACCATAAAGGGGGTATTATTTTTCGATTGATGGGTAAAAAAAATGATCCCCCAAATCAGCAGCTTAAAACAACAGACATTATCTCACAGTTTCTGAGGGTCGGACATCCAGGAGTGTTTTAGCGGGGCGGTTCTGGCTTAGGGTCTCTAAGAATAAATATATTCTTAGGCTCCTTATAGCTATAAATCCTTTTTTTAATTGAGGTATAATAGACATATAACATTATATTAGTGTCAGGTGTACAACAAAATGACTTAGTATTTGCATAGACTGTGAAATGGTCACTACAATAAGTCTAGTTACCATCCATCACTACGCATAGTTGCAACATTTTTTTTTCTTGGGATGAGAACTTGTAAGATTTATTCTCTTACTTAGCAGCTTTCAGATATGCAGTACAGTATCATTACGTGCTGTAACATACAGCATGGCGACTATAGTTAGTAACGCTGTGTTAATCAGTCTTTACAAAAGTAGTCATTAAATGTTTTTTAGCAATAGAACCTTCTCTTCAAGTGAAATTTCCTGGGGAATTCCAGTATATCAAACAGATAACAGCTGAGCTGCTGGGATGGGCTGGAGGAGGGCCTCACCCCTGCAAGGCCCTGCGGTCCCCAGGAACCAGAGCCCGGCTTGAGAATCAACGCCCTGAGTTTCCGTGGTCTGCTCCGTGAATTAAAAAAATCATAACCCCCCCACCACGTTATATTGTTAGATATTTAGATAGTTTCCAATTTTTTGGAAACCTAGAAATTAACGCTCTTATAGACATATCTGTTTCTTTAGATAACTTTCTAAAGGTGAGTTTCTGGATCAAGTGCATATATATATATATGTAAATATATGTATGTATTTTCAAAGGAAAAATCTTAAAATTAAAAAAATTGTCTATTATTAAAAAAAAATGCATCTTTTATTCAGGCATAAAAAGGAATGGAGGACGGACATACTATAACGTGGGTGAACCTTGAAAGGGTTTGTGTTAAGTGTAAGGAGCCAGGTACAAAGGGCCACATATTAGAGAATTCCATTTCTGCGAAATGTCCAGAATGGGCAAATCTACAGAGACAGAAGGTAGATTAGTGGTTGCCGGGGGCCAGGGGAGGACGTGGCAGGGAGTGACTGACTGCTGATGGGTACGGGGTTTCTTTTTGGATGGTGAACACTCTGGAACTAGATAGTGGTGATGGGGGTGCAAATCTCTGGATATAGTAAAATCCACTGAATTATGTACTTTATTTATTTTTTGAATTTTATACTTTAAAATGATGAGTTTTATTATGTGTGAATTACATATCAATACTAATGAATATTTAGTCTAAAAAAGTCACACAGTGCAAAGTGTTTCAAGTAAGAGTGAAAGTCTCGGGTCTCTCCCTGCACAGCACCTTCGCTGCTCTGTTTGAATCCTGGGCAAGGTGCTGGCTTTACGACAGGGAACAAAAGAGATCAAGAGAGGGTCCTTGCCTTGGGAGCACTTCGGTGGGGAGGCAAGCCTTAGTCATGTGACCTCGGATACGTAATGAATTACACACTGTGATGAGTGTTCCAAAGGAAAAGTTCAAGGGAGCTAGGAGAGCAAATAATGGGGTCTCGATTTAGTCTGGGGTTGAAGAAGAATGTTCCTAGGATGTGACTTGTAAGTAGATACTGGTGGGGAGCGGGGCCTTCCAGCAGGGTGTGGCCCTGAGGCGGGGGACGAGAGAAGGCTGGTTGGAACCCAGTTTTCTCCCTGAGGAGCAGTTGGGAGCCGGGCACACTCCCCAGCTGGAGAGTGACAGATGTAAGCAGCTTCGTGTCTTGAAAGGATTTCTCCGCATCCTCGGGAGAGAGCTGACTGGAAGGCCGACAGAGTCTTAGCAGCTCGGTCAGGACGTGACGGTAGCTTTGACGAACGGCCTCCAGGTGGAAGGAAGTGAGCAAACGAGAGAGACATTTAGGATGTAAAATAGGCCTTAACACGACACCGTGTCAGGGATGAAGGCTGTCATTTCCAGAACTGGAAGCACATCGGCGTGTCCCTCACACTTTTTCTCGGTCTGTAGTGACGGCTTTTTGAAAAGGAAGACACAAAACATACTGTACATACTATTCTAGCTTCCTGCCCTGTGAAGGGATTTCCACCTCAGTGTGCATCTGTCTACACCACATTCTGCTGCCTGGTTTGCCACCTTTTATTTAGCCAGCCCCCACACTGGACATTTAGGGCGTTTCCATTGTTTGGCCATCGCAGACAATGGCGTAGTGAACATTCTTGTCGCGTATGAAGGTTTCTGTCAATTACTGGATCAAAGGCAATGTACATTTATGGATTTTTTTTAAAAATAATTTTTTATTTTTCCGTGACAGTTGACATACTACTCCGCCACCTTGACCAGAATCCCAACATGTGCAGATGTGATAGATGTTCTCTTACTCTAAACTACTAGTGCTTCTCTCGGAAGTGACCCCCATTAACAATTTTTTGTATGTCTCCCAGAAAAGTTTGTATGCACCGAGCAACACATATGTCCATTTAGAAAGTACATTCAAGTGGGTTCATATTTTGCTGGTTTTTTTTTTCT